TTAGAATAATATTTTCTTGTCCTCGGCTTTGATTCGCATACCATGTGCTACAGAAGTCTTGTCTATGCGCATCACAATTTAGCTAATTATTTCTCTGTCCCTGCCAGACCATCTATGTCTTCCGCAAAGTTAGTAATTTTTTTCTTCCTCCAATGCTTACAGCACCTTCTTACCCTTCCATTTTCTTTTAATTAAGGAAGTTATTGAAAAGAGTCGGTGAAAGTAGAAAGCCTTGTCTCACTCTGCGATCCGACATAATACAAGAGAAAACCAATTTCGATTGGACATAGCTGTGTGTCTTATTCATTTTGGTAAAAACAAGTACTATAATATTTTAAAAAAAGAAATATATTTTTTGTCTTTATTTTCAAATAATGTAGTAAACCAAATATTTATATTATATTTGCCATTGAACCCCCCCCCCCCCCCCCCACTAAATTTGGCTAGTATGGAGATCGAACCCATGACCTTTGCATTATTAGCGTTAGTGTTCATGGTTGAAACACAACATACATGAATATAAATCTTTATTGTAGGTTTAATTAAAAATGAAATAGACAATACAGTTTTAAACAACTTTATTTGAATCAGAAAGACACAAAGATAAAGGCGCATTCCTCGTTCCATATGCTAGGACAAATTTGTACAAATGCTCCTTCTTCCCTAGTGCTTTAAGAGCATGGAATGGGTTGCCTGAGCTAGCCAGGAAAACCAATGACTGAGCAGAATTTAGGTCATTGGTTAAGTCAAGCATTCAATACCACTCCTAGGGTCATAGGTCTGTTCTAAAACTTAAACATGTAATAACCGAAACGTATTTGCAAGTTATAACTTTTTTTTAGGTCAGCTATAGCCTTTAGGGAATGGCAATGATTTTGAAAAGCTTTTCTGTTTTGTTTTTTTCTTATAATAGATGAGAAACACAACAAAAGTATCAATCTGGCCTGTAGGTCTTGTTGCCGACTTGCGCTATGAACGTCCTAAAGTGACCAATGGGAAGGTAAGAGCAGTTTTTTGAAAATTTAAATTTTTTTTAGCTGCCTTATTTGTTTTTTTTTACACACTATTTAAAAACAGCTACCAAAATTCTTTATTTCTTTGTGATCGACGCATAGTATTCTTAATACTAATTTGAGAGCTGGTGGTTAGCTTTTTACAAAGCTTATATTAATTCACTCTGTCTGTCTGGTAAAAAGTTTGTACACGTTATTTTTGCCCACACCCAATCTCGGATCAAGCTGAAATACTGCACATTTATTTTTTCACCTACCAAAACAAGAATCAATTAAAAAAAACAATGAGTTAATGAACTATTAGTAATTATTTATTTTGTTTGGTATCTCGAACAAGGGAAAGAAAGAAATTGTACTTGACTATAAGGTACTATAAGTTTAATTAGTCCCCTTTTAACTTTGTAGAAAAAATTTTTTTAAACTAAAATAGAAACTATAAAACCTATTTTCATTAGCACTTTCCTGGCATAATGGTTAGTTTATTGTCTTAAGGAGGCTAAGGAGGTTTTAGCCCTCGAGCTTGAATTCAGGTCGTTCACCTTTTTTGAAAAATAGAAATTCATTTAAAAGCGATCACCTAGTTACACCCTTCTTTCTTTCCTAACCCTTTTCAACTGGTATATACAAAAGATAGGATCATACAGTTATTGAGAAAGCTAAATGCATGACAAATACTAATCAAAAACAATTTGTAAAAATATTTTTAATCGGACAGATTTATTGTTGTTGGTCTAGATCTATTACAAATTTAATCACATGACTGATCCAAACTAAATGAGACAATTACGCTACTTTAAAAAGTATTTATTGATTTTCTTGTTGTTGTTTTTAAATTACATTCAACCTTTGAGTTTATGCTGTCAACTTGGGCTCAAAGATATCATGCAGTGACACTGTTATTGCATATGTAGTTTTGATAATCTAAAACAAAACTGTGTATATTTAAATCAAATTTAACACAACAATCCACATTCAGTATACTTCGACCCAAAGAGTCAGACACTATTTATGCTTATTTTTAAATATTTTTGTTTGCAGGTAACAGGCTGGTACACGAATTACAAACCTGATCGACCTTTTGCAACGGACATGGCCGGCTTCGCCATTAATCTCAATTTAATTCACCAACATCCAGAAGCAAAATTTTCAAATATTTTTGCTGCAGGAAGCCAAGAATCCACATTTCTGACATTGTTTCACTTGACACTGGATGATTTAGAGCCTAAAGCAAACATGTGCTCTGAAGTAAGTATACATTCTTATACTTCTTTACTGAGCGACTAGATCTAGATATAATGGACGTTAAAATCCTCACATTGATCTGCTTTATTATCATTCGCTGTGCTCAAGTACTTAAGTAAATCTATGAGAATCAACAAGCAACAGGCTGAGAAAACTTAAAGCAAACTACAGTTACAAAATTTCAAGAGCGTAGTTGGGGAGGAAGTTTAAGGAGCAACGCCCCCGCCCCCTTCCAATTTTATATATTTTACACAATGTTTTTTTTTCTACCAGTCGCTGGGCTTCATTAATAAAGTACCTTTAAAGTAAAAGCAGATAATGTTGTTAGGACATTGCCAAGTAGATCTAGTCGATCATTTACAAAAAAACAAAATTATAATAACGTCTACATTTGATGTTGTTTAGCTGACATTTAGTGTAGGCTGGGTGTTCTGATCTCTCTTTATGCATTAGACTTATCTGAACAGATTACAATTGAATTTAAAAACTAGATCAAGAGATTTATTTGCAAGTTATTACAAATTATACTATGAGTTAAGTTTCACATCTTCGGGCTTATAAAATATATTTGACACACGGGTGTGCAGTGCTTTTTTGTGAAAAAAAAAATAGTTGTCGGTACTCAGTGATTAGGTGCCGGTACTCAGTGATGGATTACCTAACTTTTAACTTCTTATAAATTAATAATATACGTTAAAATACAAGAAAAGTAATACTTTTTCCCCACATTGAAAAAGGTGCCTTTACGGTGTACCGTCACAAAAAAGCCTTGCGGGTGTGTTTTATAAAATTATAGGCTAGTGAGTTCGTGAAAGAAAACACAAAAAATTTTAGAATTTAAATTTTTAAAATTTAGTTGTTCAATTTAGCATTCTTGACATTTTTAGTTGAACATAAAAAATTAGCATTCTTGACATTTTTAGTTGAACATAAAAATCTTCAATTAGGCCCTACATTTAATTTATTCTCTTAGGTTCTAGTTTGGCACACGAGAACAGAAAGAAGTAAAACTCCATATGAAGAAGCGATGGTCAAACTGTATGGCGCTGACGCATATCCAAACATTGAAGTTTGATATATTTTTACAAATTAATGTCATTTTTCCCCCATGTTTTTATTTCTTGTGTATAGGCTAAATATGTTTAGATTTAGATGTATTTATTTATGACGATAACTTTTTAATCTAGTTAAATCTATATATCTTTTAGTTACATTTTTAGCGGCCGGGGCGAAAGACGCTTTTAGTTTTCTGTGGAATGTCTGTCCGTCCCGTTTAGATCTCGTAAACTTGAAAAGATAGTGAAAATCCGATATTTTTGACCTTTCAAAGTTCTGATGCAACAGCTATTTTTTTACTATCTGAAAGTGAAAATTTAATTTTTAAAATCAGCTATGCAAGCAGTTTTTTCATAAAAATACACCATTTTTACAACTATTCACTATTAATAGCAACAAACACATGAGGATATTTAGTAAGGGAGACGACTATTTACCATATATTCTTTCTGAAAACCTGCCTATTTACCTGATTGGTTGGACCACTTCGGGGTCCGATTTTGAGTTTGTGTTTCCACATAAACTGTCTTTGTAAACTTGTTTTACTTTATTTTTTAAATATAATGTGTCTACTTTGGTAGCGTACAATTTTTAAACCATATCTGGAACAAGCAGACACCCTTGCTGGGCAACACGTCGACATCACTCTCTCGCCCTCAAGCTCTTCCTTTCACAGAAACAAGATTCTGTCAAGACGTCCAGGAACGAGTTTGGATGACTTAAGACGCTTTAGCTTCAAGATTTACATAATTAAATATAAAACTATTATAGTGCAACTTACTTAGCTATTGCAGCTTTAAACATTCAAATTACAAAATGGCTGTAGTCAAAGTAGACAAAACATCAAAGCAATAAATGGGAAGACTAATGATCTGACGTTGAACACAGATAATGGTTGTTTAATGTAGCTGTCTTATCTTCTTATCTTATTAATTAAAGAGACTTTACTTTAAAAGTGAAGTCGTAGTTTTCTTGCTTAGCGGGCAGCCCATTCTATGTTCTAATGACACTATTTAAAAAAAAAGAGCAAAAGTACCATTTTGACCAAGCATTTGTAACAGAATAATGCCTTTATCTTTGTTTTTTTTTCTGAGATATTGATGTTCACACAAATGCAAATTATGGCTTTGTGTTTTTATGTATTGTTGCTACTTTGACTTTGCTTTTTAGTTTTTGTCATTAAGCGTCTCTAAATTTAGTGATTTTACTTTTGATATTATTCAAATCAAATGTGAATATTCTTTCGTCCTTATGTTGTGTCTGTTTCAGTTTCTTTGTGTTTTATTAAGTTGAAATGGGGTGGGGATCCCAAACAGTGGAGTGTTTAACAATCACGGCTGTTTGCTGTACTTTGCATCCACTCTGGATAGAATAGCTACGTGTTAGCCATTGATCTTACGGATTGACGAAATAACATAAGTCATACATCAGGGAATATCGCCACATTATCTTGTGACAGTTACACAGTAGTATTGTGAAATGGATGCACAAATGTAATGACACTGCACAACAATTGTTCATTTACATTATTTTGTTGCTCAAGTTTGTCAGTTTTTATAACTTTTGCAAAAGAAAAAAATATTGGCCATTTCAACATTCTGTTTCAGAGAGGGTGTTCTAGTTTCAGAGAGGGTGTTCCAGTTTCAGAGAGGGTGTTCTAGTTTCAGAGAGGGTGTTCTAGTTTCAGAGAGGGTGTTCTAGTTTCAGAGAGGGTTTTCTAGTTTCAGGTTTGTTCCACTATGCCTGACGTCTCCCATCACTTCTTTTGAAGTCTTTGATCATGTTGTGAACTAAATCAGCGCCAGTCCAACAGTCATTGGACCTTCCATCGGAACGGCTGCCTTACACAGACAGACCACACACTTCTTAGGCTCTTGAATCTGGAACGGCTGCCTTGCACAGACAAACAGACCACACACTTCTTAGGGCCTTGAATCTTTCATTGGAACGGCTGCCTTACACAAACAAACCACACACTTCTTAGGCCCTTGAATCTTCCATTGAAACGGCTGCCTTGCACAGACAAACAAACCACACACTTCTTAGGGCCTTGAATCTTTCATTGGAACGGCTGCCTTACACAGACAAACAAACCACACACTTCTTAGGCCCTTGAATCTTCCATTGAAACGGCTGCCTTGCACAGACAAACAAACCACACACTTCTTAGGGCCTTGAATCTTTCATTGGAACGGCTGCCCTACACAGACAAACAGACCACACACTTCTTAGGCCCTTGAATTCCAATAACGCATAACGATAAAGCGTTGGTGGTTAGTATTGTCACGAATCGATACTATGGCGTAATTCTATTTCTTTCTACAATTGATCAGGTCAAAAAAAAAAGATGACAGAGTAAACACGTGATAATTATAATTAACCAGAGAATGAGGTCAAGGAAAAAATTCTAGAACGTCGTAGTTAATAGAAATAGAATAGAAATATTTAGAATAGAAATTTTTTAGATTCAAGAAAAGACGACTTAAAAATGTATAATTTGGGGAAAAGGACTTAGTTCTCGAGTTGTAGGGGATCCTTGAGCTGTTGCGGGTCTTAGAGTTGCTGGTCCATAAGTCATACCAAATCTTTGAGTACTTGACATATTTGAAGTTAAATATTAGTGAATGTGAAGTTTGAAGATAAAAAAAACTAAGTTGTTCCGTTGTATCAGTATACTTACGTGCTCTTATGATATGGATTTATAACTTCAGTATTTTTGCAAGAAAATTATCAAGAAGTGTTGTCTTGTGAATTAATGTTTTAAAGGAATTCATTAAAAGAAAGAAAAAAGTAGTATAGAAGTTTCTTCAGTGCATTTTTAGTCAAGTGATTCTGTTTTTTGCCCTATACACAAAAGAAAAATAAACATTGCATTGTAAACACAATCATAAATATGAAATCGTCACTAATAGGCACTAAAAACAGTATTCGTCAAAAGTATGGTCTGAATATCAAAGAGAATCAGTTGAACAATGTGAAGGAGACGCGGTAGCTAAGCGGTAAAGCGCTTGGCTTCCGAACCGGGGACCGGGGTTCGAATCCTGGTGAAGAGTTCACCCAGCTCTAATGGGTATCTGACATTAGTGAAAAGTAAATGCGGTTGGTCGTTGTGCTGGCCACAAGACACTCTTGTTAACCGTAGGCCACTGAAACAGATGACCTTTACATCATCTGCCCTATAGACCACAAGGTCTGAAAGGGGAACTTTACTTACTTTATGGTCTGAATACTTTATTTTTATCATTCAATAAAACTGCCAGCATAACATTGATATCTTTTTTTTTGCCATTTTACAATAGAAAGCCCTTTTCCCAACCATGAATCCCTCCCTCCTTTTTTTCAGTAATTTAAAGTTTTAAGCAAAGCTCATCCTTCCTTTGGATCATCCGTTGTGCGATGTCATTAAGTTTGTGCAGCCAATATTATAATGCCCTCTTGTCCCTGCACTACTTACATTTTGTCTGTTATTGAAGCCAATATAGATAAATCATTTAAGCTTTGTTCCTTCCGATATTTGTGATTTAAAAAACGGAAGAAGTATAATTTTGTACTTTGTAATATGTCGGGTAAAAAAACATATTGAATCGAAATTTTGTATTAAAAAAAATAGTTTTGGCTCTATTTAACCTCAGCGATTTTGATTCTTAAAAAGGCTTAGTTGTTTTATGTACACAGTAAGTACAAATAATTGCATACAAGAAATGACGGAGAACCTAGATAGAGAGGCAACCAAAATTGCCCTAGCATAAACTTAGATAAGACTAAAATTTTACGAGTGGGATATAAGGCAAAAGTGCCCCCGTCAGACTTGGCGAGTCAAAGCTTAAAGAGTTGGACAAGTTCACTTACCTTGGCAGCATCGTAACAAATGATAGGGATGCCTACCATGATGTAGCGTGCCGAAAAGGAAAGGCAGGGAGCATTTTCCAAAGGCTGCAGCCAATCTGGACAAGACAAAATACACCTTCTCAACACAATCGTCATTCCAACAGCAACATATGCATGTGAGACATGGAAGTCATCTGTCAAAATTGAGAAAAGACTAAATGTGGCTCAACAAAATGGCTGAGACGGATTTTGGGAGTCAGTTACACAGATCGGATCTCAAACAACGAAAACCTATGCCAAACTGGGAAACTGGGAGTCAAACACTTAGTGAGTTTGTGATAGAGCGTCGCATGAAGTTTGCGGGACATGTTCTACGACAAAATGAACTACGCATACCAAGAGTTGCAATGACATAGAGGCCAATACGAGGAAAGCGCAAACAGGGACATCCTCGTATAACTTGCCGCCACACCTTCATGGAGGACCTCAGAAGAGTGGACACCAGGTGGGAAGAGGCTCCAGACATTGCCAATGATAGATTTTTGTGGAGACAGTTTGCCACACAATGCGCCGAACGGCGCTGGAGAAACTAATTCAAAGTAAGTAATAACGGTTAAACTTTTCATCATTTTTCGTTCACCAGAGAATTAGTGACGAGTCAGTCAGATAGGGGGAACCATTTTATAGTGTAGAGACAACTTTCTGACTATGGTGATCTAATTACACTACACCAAAGAATTTAGAAAACCAAAACTCTACATAGCCGCATCGCATCATTACATTTGTCTATTTTAGTCTTGATAGCTTCGTTTAGCTATCTTGTGTCAATATTTTATTCAAATTTTCACAAATTTCCTGTTTACATCAAGTAATCAAAACATGTCATAGGCTACTGTTATGTTTTGAAGACACAATATAACACAACAAGCTTGAAAGAAATGATGTTTAAAGTTTGTTTATTGTAACATAAAATATCATTAGAGTTGGGTGGATTCATGGGAGTACTAAAAAACCCAAAGTTTCCTAATTCTAGTATTCGAACAGACGATTTATCGGTCTGGAAACAGAGCAATTTAGCCTTAGCCTCCCATTCCTTTAACCCACATCGCCTGCCACAGGCTTACATCTGAACATCCAGTTATTTATAAAAGAACCTAATTTTAACCATTTTATTTTCTACACTGCTAAGTCCAGGCGCCCTGAGGGAGTCTTCCCTTGTCTTCCAGGAGTAAGGAGAATGGCGAAATAGTGGCGAAACCTCTTTTCTTTTCCAACAATGTGTCTCCCTCTTTTCGATGAATTATATATACGTCAATATAGTAGGTGTCTTTTTGGTAATGAATAAAAAAAAAACACTTACTATTCAGCACATAAATATAATTCAATTATCAAAACACCCCATTAGAAACTGAATACATCTTCAGTCACGTGTCATGGTCGCTTCAGATGATTTTATTTGTCCATTACGTTAAGTTCCAGCTGTTGGTGAACTATTGTTGTCTACCGTACAGTAGCGAGACATCTGTATTTCTACAGAGATAATCTCTAATCACTCCATGAGTAAGTAGCTTTGTAAGTAGTTGCTAAATATTCTAAAATTATATTTAATTTTTCAAACACTCAAAATCATATTTAAATATATATATTAAGAGAGAGAAGGGGGAATCTATACATTTGTAATGTAATTCTCCCATGTTTGACAAAGTTTGATATTCAAAAAATTTACCCCAACAATACAATAGTTAAAATAAGTTGTTGTTTCTTTTTAAATCGAATGTATAAACAGCATTTTTAGCGCCCCCGAAAGGTGAAAAGACGCTATTAGTTTTGTGTGTCCTGTCTGTCCGTCCGTCCCGTTTAGATCTCAGAAACTAGAAGAGAGAAAGAGAAAAGAAGAGAAAATTAAAATCGGACATCATGATATTTTTGATCATCATAGTTCTAAGCCAACGGCTACTTTTTTCTTTTCCGAAAGTGAACCATCTAATTTTTTTGATTATATATGCAAGCAGATTTTTCCAAAATTACACCACTTTTAAATGAAAGACTTCAGGGGAGGTTAGTCTTTACATCGAGATCTAGATCTAGAACTAGTCTAGAAATCTAGTTCTAGCCTAAATTCCAATTCTAGCTCTAGTCTGAATTCTAGTTCTAGTTTTTAGTTCTAGAATCTAGTTCTAGTTCGATCTAGATCTTTTTTTTTTTTTTTTGTTACTCTTAATAACTGACATTTTTCTGGGTGGAAAGACATGCTCCAATTTGACTTCCATTTCTGTAATTCATCTAATTCTCTTTGTAAAATTTCTGTACCTTGTGTTGTTTTTATTGTTCTATATATTATGCAATCGTCTGCAAATAGTCTGACTTTTTTTCCTGAACTAATGCAACTTGGTAAATCATTTATGTAAATTAAGAATAATAGTGGACCTAAGACTGTTCCCTGAGGTACACCAGAGTTTAATGTTATTGGTGTTGATTTAGAGCCATTTATTATTACAGTTTGTTCTCTCCCTATCAGAGAATCTTTAATCCTCTGATGCAATGGACCATCAATGCCAAAATATTTTAATTTTTTAAGCCAGCCATGGCTAACTAGCCCCTCCTGCCCGAAGCTTATTGGTTAAGGCACTATAAGAAGTAGTTTATAAAAACCAGTCTTTTTTTTTATTACTCACAGAAGACCAACAAGTAGAAGACCAACAAGTAGAAGACCAACAAGTAGAAGACCAACAAGTAGGAGAGCAACAAGTAGGAGACCAACACAGACTCTAGAATCTAGTGTTCAATGTTTTCAACGAGGAAGTTTTTGTGTCCAGCTGTCATTACCTTGATTGTTCTTTGGACAATGTTGATTAGGGATCTGCGTGAGTGATTTAGTTGATTTCTGATACCAGTGATGTCCAAAATACGGCCCGCGGGCCACATCTGTCAGCCCGCCGAAACGTCGGCACAAAGTGTAGATAATCCTTCACCAATTTCCCCCCCCCCCCCACACACACAAATTAAAAATGTATCTTATCTATGCTATGTTCCTCACCATTTCTCTGATGCATTGGTACCATGACCTCTACCATTGGTAC